GTACAGTCCCCCGGCAGAAGACGTCGCGCCGGTTGCGCCGCTTAACGTAAAGCACCAGAGGCCGTCTGCCGGTCCCCAGGGCGATGCGACGACGGCATTGCCGTATCGGCCATATCGTCCCGCCGGACATGTGGATGATGCGCCGGCGGCTTCAACTCCCCCGGTGCCTCCACAGCCTCTGCAGCCTGCGTCGTCGCCGCCGCCGCCGCCGCCGCCTCAGTCTCATGGGCCTCCGGTCGTAGGGGCCGTTCCTCCTCATGGCCCTCCTCATCACGCTGTTACTCCGCAAGCCGTTCCTCCTCCAGCTGCTCCTCCAGCTGCTCCACAGGGGACACCTTCGCAATCGATGAACGCGGTGGTATCTGCATCTCCGGATCTCGCTCAGGAACAGCAACATCAGCAGCGACAACAACAGGATCAGCACCCGCATCCGGCAGCAGATTCATCTGGTTCGGCAGAGACACCCTTAGTTGGAGTGGCGCCGCAACATCAGCACCATCAGCAAAATCAGCCTCCGCCGCCAGCAGCAGATGTTCCTCCTCCTCTTCCACCTCCTCTTCCCATGGCTGCTGCTACCCCTATCCAGGCGCCCGTTCCAGTGGTAGCCGTAGCAGAACATCCATCCGTGGCCGCTCCAACTCCATATCACAACTCTCAACCTCCAGTGCCTCCGCATCCAGCACCGGTGGGCACTCCGTATCAACCATCGCCAAGCCCTTCACATCCAGGTTCTATCGCAGGCTACCCTCACCCATCGCCGAGTCCTTCACATGCAAGTCCTGTGATAGGCTACCCTCATCCATCACCAAGCCCTTCACATCCAAGTCCTGCAATGGGCTATCCTCCAAACTCAAGCCCTATCCCAGGCCAACTGACATACGGACCGCCCCATTCAGCGCCGACCTCGTCCGTTCCCAGTCCACAGATGGCCTCCTTTCAATTCCAGCCCATCAACCAGGGACCGCCGCAAAATCTGTATTCTGCCCCGAGTCCCACGCCTCCAGTGGCATCACAAGCTCCCCCAAGCCCGGCGTCTTACCCTCCTGCTCAGCACTATACGCCTCCACCACCGACTTCAGGCTATGAGATCCCGCAGCCTACCTATGCATCTTCAACCGTGAATCCGCCTCCTCAGCCACCGCGGCCGGACTTCCAGCAGGCGGCGGTAGGTGCTTATCAACAATATCCGCAGCCGCAGCCGTCGCCAACTTATGGGTATGCCGGTGCTCCAAGACCAGGCACGCAGCCTCCCCCTGCTACGCATCATTCGGGATATAATGCACCATACGGACCAGCAATAGCCCCCCACCAACACCAATATCCAACCCAGCCTACCTATGCGGCGGCTAATGGCAATACCCCCTCGTCTCCAAACGTGCCGCAGGCTCAGTATGCGTCTCCTCCTCTGCCGCCGCGCCCAGCAACAACGCAGCCTCAGCTGTTTCTGGGATTCAACTCTCAAAACGTCGTGTCATATCCGCCGCCGCCACAGAGAGTGTTTAGCCCGCCGCCTGCGGTCCCGGGCCAGGGTCCTCGGCGGTCATCCGGAGGAATGAGCAGTGGCAGGCTATTTAGCAGCTCGTCGGCGTTGAAGTGGATAGACAAGACGGGCAAAGGGTTGGAGAATAAGCTTGATGCGGTGCTGGGGCCATCTAACAAGCCACCACCTCAGCCTCCTCGTCCTACTTAGGAGTTTTGAAATTTTTAAACCATTATATATTTATCATATAGATGTTGCATATCTGGCGAATATCTTTTTTGAATTGATGGAAGTATTATCATGTCGATTATGAGGGCGAGAGAGAAGGTTGTTTTTTTAGCATAATTATTTGGCAGGACACGGCTCCATATATCTTAGTTTTACAGCAAATATATTTGTTGAAATATAAACCTCATAGCCTCTGGGCATTGAACTTTGTTGTTTTCGAGAGTATTCATCTTGAGAAGCTTTTGGTATGAGCAGCACAATGTGACCATATTTTGGTATCAAGAGATGTCATCAACCGCTGTTCAAAAACTAGACTCTGCGTTTTCTGCGTCTTACACGAGACATTGGAATAAACACGATTATATGTACTTCAATATGACGTCAAGATTGACTCTCTCACATGTAGTAGAGAGAGAGAGTACCTGAGCTTAATTTCTCTACGCCCGTTTTAAACAATGTAAGTTTATTCGTTAAATCATCAAAAGACACACTTTGTCAACGTACGTAGTAGTCGTGTAATAGCTGTCGCCTCCCCCTCCTTTACATTATCGTTGTGGCTCTCCGAAGGCGGACCGTCGACGAAAATAACCCGCAAAAAATCGGAAATAAAGTGAAAAAGGAAAAAACAACATCCGACTTCTTTGTATTATAATATGAGTAAAGTGAGAGATTTTACGGACAGGACATACGGAGGCGGAGGAGATAAAAGTTGGTTTTTTCCCGATAGCCTTTTCAGGCGGAGCACGTTTTTGATACGTCAAATATCGCTGCACGCTGCGAGTGATGAGGAGAAGAGTCATAATGAGGGGGTACATTTCTCTCTGTGTCTCGCTCTCGCTATTTTCATTTATTTCGCTTCTCCTTCTCTTGTTGGGAATGAGCAGCTGGTCGGCCGAGATTACTTTGATGCTGTGCGACCGCACTGGTTGACGGCCTCTCTAATGGCGCGGTTGTAATGTCCCGAGTTGCGAGCTGCGTCTGCATCAAATCAAGTCTGCACGTCTATAGTCTGTATAACTACTACTACAATACTATACAGTAACATCGTAGATACAAGGTCTGTAGTTGCAGTATTTGCTATATTATTGAAGTACCGCGATAATACTGCGCTCATGATAGTGAAGAAATGCTGCAAAAGACGTTTTGGAGGCTGATGTGATCAATGTGGGGCACAATCTATTTTGGGCTGCGCACAGAGCCGTCCGGCGACTAAGAAATAGCTGCTGGCGGCCCGACATTGTGCGCAGCTACGCAGACACGAAAGGCGGAGTCTTCAATTAATTTTGGCGCCGGTTTTGCTCCTCATGCTGTACAAGTTTAGGTGGTGTAGCTGCGTATACCAGCTGGGTACTGCACCAGACAAGAGGCCGAGGGCAGTAAATCAAGTCCAACAGCGAGAAATAGATCGACGTGAAATGGAAAAAGGGGCTACACTGCTGCTCTGTTGACCGATTTCTTGATAATACGAAAAAAAACACACGACGGACAAGGGCTTCCGAGACATTTGTGGTGAATCGAGGCGAGAAACCCGGTACGACTGTACAAGGGATTCAATGACCAGATACGCTCCCGCGGAGACTTTTATCTCTACGCCATCACATCACACCTCACTTATTCCAAGTGTCTGTCTGGATACTAACTAGTAGTCTAATACTAATGCAGAGGCGCCCAAGGCGATAACCCTGTGCTCTCGGGTCTTTTTTGTCGATTGAGCTGAGCGCTTAAAACGACACACGAGTCCTGTCGCATGCATTGTGCATGTCCATCAGTCAGCTGGTCCGGTCTGGATACTGGCCTACTTCGCTTCGTACAACTCGGGAAACGCTGCATTTGTTGGCCGGAATTAGCGAGTTGAAAAGGCGGAAATGTACATGATCATCAGTACGAGTACTCGTACCATATTCCCCCTTCTGGGTTTCTTTCTTACACTTGACATGGACATTTTCCCCTTCTCCCTCCTAGAGGCGCAGACTACCGGTCGGTGTCACCGACCCGGGTAGTGTTATAGTGTTACAAAGGGCGCAGCAAAAGGGAATACAGTAAAAAACTGTTGAGCCGTGGGCGCTCGGGATTCCGTCTACCCCAGGAATTTGGTCAACTGGTGCCGATCTGGCTTCGCATGCCAAAGGTGGTCAGGTGAGAGCGCATGGGTGGCGTTTTGAGGGGTTTGCAGGCGACTTGGTGAGGCTGTCCGACTTGCAGATGCAAGCATTTTCCTTTGGGGTTTTGCTTTGCACTCTCGCTTGCCGTCCAAATAACGAGCACATGCTCTGAGCTTCTCTCGCTACCAATCCAGGCGTGAGCACGCGCCAAGTCAGAGAGAGCTTGGGCTTCAACTTGAGCTTGGAGCTTTGGCCTGTAGCCAAAATTCAACCATGGCCAGCGGCGTTGCAAGAAACCATGAGCTCTTGTACTGCGCAATATAATGGTAGTCATGTTTCTCCGTGAGGAGACTGATGTCTGAGGCGGCAAAATCATGGCCGCATCATGCACGAATGCAAAGCCAGCCCACTCGCGAGCCCTCTCGGGATTCTCGTATCCCGAGATGAGGATGCAGAAGGACAGACGATAAACCCCCAAGGGCTTGCCACATTTCGAGGCATATTTGCCAGTTCATCGCCAGCGCACGTCAGCGCTGCACGTCTGGCTGGCTGTTACCCAGTGATCATATGCAGGGCGGTAAATGAGGCATCTCGGTGAGCCACTCCCCTGTCCTTGTGGCTCGCCAACCCTGGCAATGGCAGCCAGTGAATGCGGCTGAAGGTGCCTCTCGCAGACTCTTGTATGCTTTGTTTCTCCGTGCTTGCTTTTTTGTTTCAATATTGCCTCCAGGACAATCAATTTTAGCGCCGCCATGCTTCACCGAGCCTCAGCTGTATTTCCCACCATCGTATGAGCGGTGATGGACTCGAGCCTCTGGTTGGATAACTCTTCCTTTTGTGCCTTTTCTCCGTTTCACTTCCATTTTGGCGTCTCCCCCCCGAGGCGGCTCGGAGGCATAGCAAAGGCACCTAAGCGACCGCTGAGCTCCACACTTGGGTTGAACTGGGCTTCACCAGGCTGCAACGACGGGGAGAGGGGCTTAAACGACGAGCACTGGTTGGAACACGAAATCAACCCGATACGTGACTTGCATCTTGACCCAATTTTCTTATGTGAGGTTGCTGGAAGGATGAAAATGGATATCTGAGAGAAAAATGCTTCAGGGTTTGGAAACCAAAAATAAAAAATAATAATCGAAGAGAGGGTTGGTGCGCTCGGACGGTTGTGAATCAGGCAAGTACTTCGTAGTAGGAAGTTGGGCACGATTCAGCAACCTGGTCCTCCGTAGCAGGCGAGAGAGGCAGCACAGGCACTGTAAGCATTGGATCGCTGGCTGTGGTGCGATGGATGGATGTACTTGGCAGGTCACCGCGTTGTTCCCTCGCGTGGACGCATCGAGCAGCGTCGGCGCTCTTTGACGCTGTGGCTGAGAGCGATGCTCCGTTGCGGTACTTTGGGAATACCGCGCATCTACCTGCACCTGCACCTGCACTCGCATCCTTTGGCCATCAGCAACGGACCAGCGCAGAACCAGCAGCAGCAATCCTCCGGCGGCCAGTCAATGCTATATGTATTTTTGTCTATTTGTGGACAATCCGCCGCCGCGTTGCATTGCCCAAGCAATTTGATTTGCAAGGGCCTGTTCGGTAGCACCCGATGCCTCCCCCGCCTGGCCAGTCACCAGCGGCCTGAATTGCTACTCGTTCACTGCTCTGCCCACTACCCACTGCAGCTCAGCGCCAAGCGCCCAGTTACAGCGCCCACAGCAGCGCGCGCGCCACAGCACTTGCCCGCGCACAGGCTCAGGCTCAGGCTCAGGCGCCCTTCCAAATCTCAGCTCCCCCCCTTCTTCTATCCATTCCATCCTCTCCCTCCGCTTTTTTCCCTCTTCCCTTCATTCTCTCTCCCTGACAACCTTCGCCCCGACGAGAGCATCGCTTCGTTCGGCACTTTTTCTTTCGAGCATCGCCGCCTTTTCGACTCGACTCATCGACACGCCCCGCTGCAGCACCTTCGATCTGCAATAATTTTTTTGTTTTCTTTTTTTCTTTTTCGCTCAGGCCTGCCTTCGTTGCCACGCACCCGCTACCTCGTCACCGACATATCGAATTTGGCGCCCTCCCCGTCGGCTGCTCTTCCAAATTCTCCTCTGCAGGTTAGTTGGCCTCTTGGAGTTTCCATCTCGGTTACTTCGTGCCCATCTTTGCCCTTCTCCCCTGTTTTGCATTGATTTCTCCCTCTGCGGCATATGCAGCCCTGATGGCGTGGTTCTACCTCCTATCCTGGAGCAAACGTTTGCTCTCGTCAGGCTCTTGTCATGCATGATTCGGCCTAGCACCGGATTTTGCTGGTGGCGGATCTAGCCACCGCCCTTCAGCAGGCCCCTAGGCCCACTCCCTTTGTCAAACCATTTCATCACAGCCTCTTTGATCTTCCTCCCTCCATCTCTTATTTTTTTTTTTCCTGTTCTACATTTGCATTTTGCATCCTTCGTCGCTACTCTTCACCCTCGCTTTATTTGTACGGCGATTATTTGATGGTGGCCGATATTAAAAACGTCTCAGGATTTGCAGCTTTACCGATTCCGATACCCAACATAGATCGACGAGCCTGCTTCCTTCCCTTGAGGAACGAAGCATACAGTTAATACAGTCAACATGACGACCATGGTAAGCATCAAATCCTCCTTCTGATTTTTTTTCTTCTTTCTCGCGATACGCTTCCAAACTGGGTGCATCGGCCTCAGCGTCCGAACGGCTGGCCACTGCACCTATCGGCAGTGCCGAATGAACTCACCGCTGCTCTACTCTAATATGCCCTTTGGGGGAGAGTTTTGAGAGATGGCTCCATCTGTGGAGCAATCAATTTCATCAGCATCATACTTGCTTTTCTCATCAATCATTTGCTAACCTGTCTTCGCGTTGCTTAGGACCTTCGCGTCGGTAATAAATACCGGATTGGCCGAAAGATCGGCTCTGGTTCTTTTGGCGACATCTACCTTGGAACCAACATCATCTCTGGAGAGGAGATTGCCATTAAGCTCGAGTCTGTAAAGGCCAAGCACCCTCAGCTTGAGTATGAGGCTCGTGTGTACAAGTCCCTTGCTGGCGGCGTTGGAATTCCCTTCGTCCGCTGGTTCGGAACTGAGTGTGACTACAATGCCATGGTTCTCGACCTCCTCGGTCCCAGTTTGGAAGATCTCTTCAACTTTTGTAACCGCAAATTTTCCCTGAAGACGGTCCTCCTGCTTGCCGACCAGCTCATCTCCCGCATCGAGTACATCCATGCCAAGTCATTCATCCACCGAGATATCAAGCCAGACAACTTCCTCATGGGCATTGGCAAGCGTGGCAACCAGGTCAACGTGATCGACTTTGGTCTTGCCAAGAAGTACCGCGATCCCAAGACTCACTTCCACATTCCGTACAGAGAGAACAAGAACTTGACCGGCACGGCCCGTTATGCCTCCATCAACACCCATCTTGGTGTTGAGCAGTCTCGCCGTGACGACATGGAGTCGCTCGGCTATGTCATGCTGTACTTCTGCCGAGGCTCTCTCCCTTGGCAGGGTCTCAAGGCTGCCACCAAGAAGCAGAAGTACGACCGCATCATGGAGAAGAAGATGACTACTCCTACCGAGGTTCTCTGCCGTGGATTCCCCAACGAGTTCGCCATCTACCTCAACTACACTCGATCCCTGCGTTTCGACGACAAGCCTGACTACAGCTACCTGCGCAAGATCTTCCGCGATCTCTTTGTTCGCGAGGGCTTCCAGTATGACTACGTCTTCGACTGGACCGTGTACAAGTACCAGAAGAACGCCCAGGCCATTGCCCAGGCCGCCGGCCAGGCAAACCCCGAGGATGAGGACAAGGCTCGGGCTTCCCGTATGACTGCTGCTGCTGCCGTCACTACGTCTAAGCCTGGTGCTGTGCCCAGCTCCCGCCGCAAGATGCTTGAGCGTGGCTCTGGCGCTGGCGTTGATACCCCGGACACTAGCCGTGCCATCGGTGGAAGCGATAGGATGTGAGTTTCTAATTTTAGCTTAGCCCAACAGCTCTTTCATCGTAAGGGGTCACTTTTCCTCCGCGCGATTTGTATTTTCTTGATACCGCTAAAGGGAACTGTGCTGACAAGTATGGCTGACTCAGTGGACGCTAAACAGGCTTCGCTCTGCTTCAAAGGGAGCGGGATATGCCTCCGGCAACTATCGGCCAAACTGAAAGATAGTAACTTTGGGCTTTTTTTTCTGCACCTCTCTTGTGGGATCTGAGCAAAGTGGTTGCGGGTTGCTGCGAGAACCTCCTTTCTTACCCTTAGTCGACCTTTTCAGACACGCAACAAGCCTACTGTAGTCATCCGATGGTGACTCTGGTCGTCCTGGGGCCTGTTGTCGATCTTTGTGGTTCTCAAATTCGCCTTTATGCACCTCCCCTCCCTTTTGTTTCATTTCTTTTCATTTGCCCCCACGCATCGCTTTATCTTGTTCTTCGACGCATCTCTAAATTCACGACTTGACGCATGGCTCGGATTACTCTGAATCATGAGGAAGTGCTTTTTTGGGATTGGAGCCTTTCAACACTCCACCTAAAAGCATCTCCTTGTGATTTAGAGACGTTAATCTGAACGGCACGTCCGGTAACATTTCGTTGTTGGACCATTGCAGCAATCTCAAAAACTTAATGGCTGCCGTCTCTGATGGCTTGCTATCAGTTTTAGAGATGGCCGTATAAGCCTTGCCAGCTCGAGCGCTTAGAATGCCGGGCTTGGACCCCATGGGTCTTGACAATACTCTTCCGCCATGGTCCCAAGCTCAGTCGTTGCGGTACAGCTGCGTCTCAGTGAGCGGGTGTTTCTCCTTTCTTTCCTTGGTCATTAATACTATGCATCATACTTTCTACTTCTCGATTCGATTTTTTTGTTTTCTATTTTTAGGCCGGCGTGTCGAAGGGCAGCTTCTGGGGAAGTCGATGAGATTGGCCTGTAGGTGGAAGGGGCAGTCTCTTGGTGCGGTTAACTGACATCATTATTTTGATGGTGGAAGGTTGTCCGCGAAGCTCGCCTTGAAGGACGTGGTGGGGGACGGCAGTGGTGACAAGTTTGACACGACTTCGCTTGCAATTGGGCTACCGACGAGACAAGATTTACATTCCAGTGAATTAGCCTAATCTGTCAAGGGGGGTCGTCTTAAAGGAATCGCTACCATGGCTTTACTATATGATATACGGATGATGGCCATGGCACCTGACGCCAACTCGTTGTTGTTGCCGCTACATACACACTGGGTGCCTGTCATTGAACTCGTCGCACTCAGCCAAGGGATTTTGACGGCACATGGGACAAGAAGACGGTCAAAGCTTCGTGGCATGGTCAAGGCATCAACAACGAGTCTCTTGTCGCTAAGAAACAAGCTCAGCTCAGCCAGTAGTAGGTCATATAGTCTGCAATCAAATTTGGTTTTTTGTTTTTCCTTATACACAGCTGATGCAAATGCCACTCAATGTCTCACCCGCAAAGTGTAATGTAGAAATGCGTGTATGCGAATGTGCATGTAGTCGCGTGCGTGGGCCAGCAAAGGGTCCCACGAGGCCACCCATGATCACATGTTCCCTTGCCTGACTGAGCCCCATGGCGTTGTGCCAATTAGTACGGAGTACGGAGTAGCGGTAGTGGCAATTGCAGTCCTAGCACTTGAGCAACACCTACTATCATCAATCCATCAATCCATCAATACCTTGGTAGTGAGGTGGCTTAGTATATACATGGATGTAGCTACGGACTACAGCTGCCGCCTGATCGAGGGCCTACGGTGACGGATTGATCAAGTGTTAAAGTTGGAAGTGGAATTCTATGATGGATTCAATCCACACTTCAGGTTGGTATGGATCAGTTAGCAGTATACTGCTAGCACATACCTAGTGCTACCTGGCACCGCCTAAGCAGTCGAGGTTTAGCAGCATGCACTGCCTGCAGCTGACCTGAAGCCCTCCAGTTATTCTTATGCGCTGACGCAGGGTTAGCCGACAAATCGAGCGCTCCGTCTGGCACCCTTGGCGATAGTTGCATGACCCGCGAGCGGTACATGACTGTACCTTTCAGCCACACGGAATGCCTACCGGCGTTGGGCGTACAGCAAAGGTACCCGCCGCTGTCGTATCGAGAGCCAAGCTGAAGAGACATATATATTAGGAGGCTGTGTCTTCGGGTCTTGGGGGAGCTCCAATCGCAAAGGCAGATTCATATTCACTCTTCATTCAGCCCTTTTTGTTCATTTTGTTGCCCACTTGCTGCCTTTTGATTTGGTTGAGCTGTGCTGCAAAGCTAACAAGGGAGCTGCGAACCCCGCTTGAGCGGCCTCTCCTTGCTTGTTCTCTCTCTGTTCTCTTTTGGCGCCTCTTTTTGTCAACTGAACACGGTGCCTGGCACGGTGCTTTTTTTGGCCTTCCCGGCAAATCCAACAAAGCAAAGAAAAACCCCAGCTGGAGCTATAATAATACCGGACCAGACACTCCAGCTTCAGCCCGTCATTGACATTCGTTGACATTCGTTTTCTTCTTGTTTTTCTTCAATCCCGTCGCAGCATGGGAATCGAACCGCCGAGCGACGCGGCAAAGATGACGCCCTCGACGCTGGACCTGCTGGTCCTGACGTTCAACTGCGCGGCGAAGCTCATCAACGTGCCTGTTTTCGCGGGTCATTTGCAGACTGCCCTGGCGCGGAATGCCGCGGAACTGCCAGAGGTGGTTGTCCTGTAAGTTGGGATTACCTCATCACGACTTTCATGTTTACTTCCCCCCTTTTTCGCATGCTTTGCTCTTATCCTTTCTTTTTTACCATTTTTCTCAATCTTCTACCATTTTTTGCTATAAAATGGCTGGATCGTGTGCTTATTCTATGAAAGATCGCTACAAGAGATTGCTCCCCTGAGTTATGCCTTCATTGGGGGAGATTACTTCCTGAAGCCGTATGTGGAACGGTTTGAAGAGGCAATCAACCTCGCGGCTTCACTACATTCACAGAATGGAGAGAGCAATGGCAGCTCAGAAGCTGCTGCTACTTCCAATCCTACATCACAGTCACTGTCACACTCACAATCACAGAGTGGGAGAAGCCACTATACGCTTATCAGAAACCTCAATGTGGGGTACACGGCCATTATGATGTTTGTTAGAGATCCTGCCCGGCTCAAGGACATCCAGGAGGCTGAAGTAGGATTCGGTGCCGCTGAAATGGGCAACAAGGGAGCGGTCGGCCTGAGAGCACTGTACGAGGTCGGGGGAGAGTCAACAGAGTTGACGTTTGTGGCGACGCATCTGGCGGCCATGGAGTGGAATTTGCCGCGGCGCAACGCCAACTGGGGCACCATCATGCGCGGTTTGACGTTTGAGAATCCGGAAGAGGTGTTGAGCAAGATGAGGCGGGACGCCGAATCGAGGAGCCAGAGCTTGTCGTCCGAGGAGGGCGATGCTTCGGAGCAGGCCCGCTTGCTGCGTGAGGAGCACCATGAGCAGGACCTCCGGCTTCAGCAGCAGTTTCACAACCTTTCCGTCTTCAAGCCGTCGTCTCACCTGTTTGTTGCCGGAGATCTCAACTACCGCATTTCTACCACGTCTCCGACGCCCTACTCTGCGTTCCCGAATCTGGATCCCGGATCAGAAAACTACTACACCAACTTCTTGCACCTCGATCAGCTCACCCGTGAACGGCTGGCCGGCCGCACACTCCATGGCATGTCAGAGCAGCCCGTGGCCTTTCCGCCGACTTACAAGTACGTCGTGGACTCCAAGACGCCTCCTCCCGGCACCGCCGGCAGCTCCGTCGATGAAGTCAAGTGGGAGTTTGCCTCACATCGGTACCCTGCCTGGACAGACCGCATCCTGTATCTCGAGCTCCCGTCATGGATCGACTCAAAGATGAAAGTCCGGGCCTACGATGCGCTACCGGTCATCCGGACCAGCGACCACCGCCCCGTCTTCCTCCGCGTCGACGTGCCACTCATCTCGCCCGAGGACCTTGCTCCCCCAGTCAGCGAAATTGCTTCCGGATCCGCTTCGCCCGGTGACAGCGGCGTTGATCCGCGCGTGCGGCTACCTGTGGAGATTGATCCCGAGGCTTGGGAGCGCAGAGTGGCTGCACGGCGGCGCGAGATCGCGGCCGGGTGGACCATGTTTCTCTGGAGCACGAGGCAAGGGGCGTATATTATGGGCTCTCTACTGGCCACAGGCGCGAGCGGATACTGGCTGTACCGTTATGCATACATGTAAGGCTGTGTGACTTTGGTGGAAGGGGGTCTGTCTGATGTCTAATTGGTTTGGGTATTACATCTTTTGGTACTGGAGCATAGACAGGGGAGTTGTTTAAACGCGGCAGTGCAGTGGGAAGGCTGGAGGGCAGGGCTGGCGTTGTGTGATTTTTTTTCATCATCTTTATTTGTCTTGGTTTTACTATGGCGGTTGTGGATTGGGTTGGAGCATGTGTTAGAAGTGTTTGATGTAGTTCGCTCTGTACAACGATTCATCATTATCGGTCTGGCTTTTTGGCCAAGGTAGATAGATAGCTTGGTAATATATATATGTATATATACAAATACACCGTTTCAAAAATGTTGTTTCATCACGCCCAAGGCGTATGTATATATTAATAGTACTAGGTATTTCCTCCCCTATGCTGTGAGACTATATAACACAGACTGACTTGGTTCCTCAGAGCTCGTCTCCTTCTCTCTTTTTTTTGTTCTTTTTTTTCTTTCTTTTTAGACAGCTCCTTTTCCTGTTTCATTAAATAACCATGTACTTGTGAAAAAAACGTCGTCATACGCTACGTCTTCCAAGCAAACATCGATTTTCTCTTATCTCTCAAAAGTCCTCTCCTGAAACGGAGTATGCGCCGAAGCCCAGAAATAATCATGGCAATAACATTTGGGAATAATAACGATCAAATCATTTACCGGCGAGTGGTGACACATCATAAAAAGAAAAAAAGCAGCAGTAATTACCTATTAAACCCACCCACTCTCTTTTGCCAAGTAAATGTAGACCAGCGCCTTCGGAAAACACAAAAGCCAAAAAAGAATAAACAAAAAAAAAAAAAACAAGATTATGCAAGCTTAATCGCAGGGTAAGTAATAATTTTCGTGTTTTTCAAAAATCTTCAAAGTAGGGGTCGTATCTATTGGCCATGTCGGCGGTGTAAGGGATGCGCGTCCCGTCTTCCTCGGGGTACTGGTCGAAACACTGGTCGTCGCCGGGATATCGAAGGGGGGGAATAATCGGGCCGCGGTGCCGACGGCTGAGCATGTCGTCCCAGTTGACTCCGTTGAAGAAGGGGTGGGCCTTGACGCGGCCGGCGCCGCCGCTGATGTTGCCGAGGCGCCTGGAGCGGTCGATCGTACAGAAGGACTTGATGATGTCTTGGGCCTCGTCTGATATGACTGGCTCTTGTGGGAATATGACGGGCTTCTCAACGATTCTTGGTGCCGCGAGGTCAGCACTTATAACGAGAAAAAAAGGGGGGAGCAGTGGTAATGTGCATCACGAGGGAGCTCGTAAGAGCCGCAAGCGTCCAAAAACTTACTGCTTGTAAATCTCAATAGGATTCTGATGCCAGAACGGAGGATAGCCCGTCAGGAACTCGTATATTAGAATGCCCAGCGCCCACCAGTCCACCGCTGTCGTGTGGCCCTTGTTATGAATGACCTCCGGCGCAAGATACTCGGGCGTACCGCAAAGCGTGTAAGTCTCGACCGGCCTGTCGTCTTTGTAGCCCAGCCGTTTCGCGAATCCAAAGTCAACGAGTTTGATGTGTCCTTCCTGGTCTAGTAAGAGGTTTTCCGGCTTGAGGTCTCGGTAAGCCACACCACCTTGCCGCTCGTGTAAAAACTCCAATACAAGGACAATCTCGGCGGCGTAGAAGCGCGCAACCTGCTCGTCGAACCGGCGGTACTTCCGTAGATAACTGAAGAGCTCGCCGCCGGGGACGTAGTCGAGGAGCATGTATAATGACTCGTTGTCGGAAAATGAGCCTAGTAGATTGGTGATGAAGGGGTAGCCTGCCACGTCTGCCAGGATGGCTCGCTCGTTACGCACGTGGTCGATTTGCTTCAGCTTGATCACCTCCGTCTTCTTGAGGATCTTGAGAGCGTATACTTCAGGGTTCTTTTCTTCCTCCAGGGGTTGGGTGGCGCTGGCAGGGCGGACCAGACATACTCGAGCAAACGTGCCTATATAAAAAGATTGATTATTTAGTAAAACCCGGTTATCGCGATTCAGGCCTTGCTGTTGGATAAGGGCAATGGTGGATTGAAGAAGGTGTACACGAACCCGTGCCCAGAGTCCGCACCCGCTTGAAATCAGACAGCTTGAAGCTGCGAGTTGGTGGTAGAGGTTGGGGTGCGGAATCGGTAGAGAGAGCGCTGCCGGCATGGCGTTGATGAGGTGATGCCATGCCAGCCGATAGCGCAGTGGTCGCCGGCTGCGTCTCAGCAACCGTGGCCGCCATCCGCGAGGCCTTGAGCTTGCAGAATGGTTACGAGATCGGTCGTAAGCGTGCTTCTGGCAATGAATTGGCTGGTGAGTTGGTTGGCGGATAAGGTTCAAGGGAGGTCCATGGCCTCGTGAACGAACGTGATGGCAAGATACGGAGAGACGGAGGGCGAGGGAGAGATTTGCGCATGCAAAAGATGGGATGCGACTTGTGGAAGGCGACACAAAGGAAAAAGCGCAAGGATCGGAGGCAGATGTCGGGCTATAGCATCAATCGAAGCATGGCGGGAGAGGCAGCGGAGGAACTGGCGAAAGGAATCCGGAGGATGGCGGGTAGGATCGATAGGACCGGTTGGCCCGTTGGATTTGGCGCTGACTGACGGATATCTTTTTTTTTTTCTCTCTTGTTCGGCTTTCTCTTGTCTCTGTTTGCTTCTTTTTCCCTTTTATAGCCGGAGCTTGGAACAAGAACACGTCGTTGGCTTCGCTTTGCCCTGTGTCTTGTTCTGCTCTGAAGTTTCTGGACGTTTGTGTTATCGTATGGTGAGCACACGGTCAGACGCAAAGAGGCAGAAAAACAATGAGGCGGAAACTGAGGCAGAAGCAGAAAAAGATGGCAGAGGCTGAGGCTGATTGAATATCTACTAAAACTAGTGCAAGCAGCGCAGCATCCATTTCATCGTGGGGATCCGGCGAGGGGCGGTTATGACGCAACAAGCGACAGGCTAGAGGGGCCCTAGCAGCCGGTCTCGATACACCAAGGGGCACGCTACGTCTGCGCTACCGGCTAGCATCGCGAGAGGGCAAAAATTTGATCTCAATGGGGCTCTTTTGTTTCTTGAAAGAATGTTGGAAGAATGATGGAATGATGAAATCGAGTCAGCATCATTTAGTGCTCTAGATGCAACAAACATTTGTTATAGGAGACTTATGCTGTATTGGTTCTTTGGTTCAGCAGGTAGATATTTGGTAGAGCATCTCGGAACGGTGAATGCTCCGTACCTAGTATCGGAACATATTGATAGGACCTGTCACATTGGTGGGTTACACGTTTAATACGAGTCAATACCTGGACCTAGAACATGAGGGTTTTTCTCATTGCGTCAGTCAATACCTTGGCAGCCTCAAGTATAGTAAAGTGAAAGGCATCGCACCCGTTGACAGGTTTGATTTACATCCGTTGGCCCCGGATCAGCTGCCGTCACAATGTCCATCCTTGGGTTGGGCCATGCATGCAATCCGTCAAATATGTAAGTCATCAATCAAACCGCATTTGATTTGACAGGGACACGAGATTAGTGATGCTACCGTGCCCTCTTCAGGTGCAGCCGCCTAGAGCCAATGAAAGACGACACGGCAGCCGTTTTATGGAGATGCGGCTTGTTAATCGCCAAGTGCTCACGGCTTCAGCGGCCGATGGATGGATTTATCGAGAGTGTGTCGATATCAGACGTAGAAAAGGTTAATGCTAGATAGTTACGATGTGATTAATGTCAACACGGTTCATAGGACGTAGTATTCGATCTCACCGATGACTCAATAATCCATTGATTACTTCTCCAACTCTGATAAGACTAGCTGTAGAATCTAGACCCTGAACCCGGCGCCGAGGACAGGGGACCATTTGGCTTCAGGTTGTTGCCAGACATCAACTTGTAACAGCTTCTCACACACGTACGAGAATGAGCAGGGAGGCAAAAATAGAACAGCATAGCACGGCATTACTCACACAAGTCTATGTTGTCAACTACCTACCTAGGTAAGAGCTCCAAAGAACTCACCCGTAGCCACTCAACTGAGTTCGAGGCAGCATTAGATCTCACCAAATCTCCCCCCTGGCCTGGCTTGGCCCCTTCTTTGCTGACGTCTCGACGCTGCACAGCGGAATTGAATTTTAGAGTACGAGCAGCGCCCAGGTGCCGAGATGGGCACGTTCGGCCCCCCTGTTGTTGCGCGGGATCAGCGGACCTGCTAGTGCATTCCAGGCACTTCAAGGTGCTACAGCGTCCACCAGTGCCGCCCGGGGAATGCAGCGCAGTGGTTGGCCGTGGAACTGCAGCCCTGCAGCTAAGGCAGACTCGCTGGTTGGCGAGGGGGCCTTTGGGGGGGACCGGGCTGAATACCTCAGCACAGGGTTCCTTGAGCCCCGCCAAACGGCCGCTAGCAGCAGACAGCTGCAGCCTGGACCGCTGCTGTCACTGGACTCCCGACAGAACTGCCCTCACCACCACAACTCCCCCTCGAAGCTCCCATCGCCGGCATCATCCCCAGCCCTCGCGCATCGCCACCATCTTGCTCGTCCTGACCGCTTTCTGCCGCCCTTCTGCTACGTCTCCAGCCTCTGTCGCAGCATCCTGCCCTGCTTCCCCTCTCTCGCAACGGCCCAATCCCGGCAGCCCGACGCCAGCAAACGGAGCAACCCAGCGGCTCATTCAGCCATCCGACGGCCGGCAGTCTCTCTGCGGTCGCGTGGGCTGGTGCCATCGCCTCTCTCATAACACCGACATGCGTCCTTGAATGTCCTCGACACCATGTTTTCCAACCTGTCCAACATCGTCCAGAGGGCCCAGCAGCTCATCGATCCCACCCAGGGACTCAACCTCTCCAACTCGGATCGCAATCCCTCCAAAGCTTCACTCTTCCAGAGCCAGTTCCGCCTCCCATCCTCCCAAACGCCCCTATATGAGATCAATGCCGAGTTGACCATTCCGCCCTCAAACACTACGCGCGGCGATCCGGACCACGACAGGGGTTGGCACTACGCTGGAAAGCTACACCTTTCAGAGGCCTATCTTTGCTTCTCGACAACACCCACGAGCTTTACGCAATCAGCAAGCACGTCGACATCTTCCGCCTTTACCGGCCAAACCAATGGCAGCGGTCCAAGCGGAAGTGGCTTCACATTCCCCCTCTGCGCCGTCAGGCGAGTGGAGAGACTGAATAGCCAAAACTTTCAGGTATGTGCAGTCGATTGGATGATGGCATCATCTCCCCCCTTTCAAAATCTCCTCCAGTAAAGCTCTACATCTGACCAACATATGTCTGCAGTTTGCTCTCGCAATCACTACCTGGAATGGCCTATTGGCAGACGTCGCAAAACCAAAAGATAGCAACAACGGCAACAAGGATGTTCGAGAACAGCGAATTACGATCCACCTGGCGGGCACCCGGCAAGCTTGTGAGAGGTTCTGCGATGGTCTAAAACGAGGTCTTAGAGCCGGAGTAGGCAACGTGGGCAAGCTGCGCAAGGTGGTGGCCGAGTGCTACTCTGAGCATCTCTTGCGCACCGACGACAGGGCGAACGTGTCACCTCCTGATGCAGGTTTGGGCATGGCTTTCCGGTACCCTGGAGACCCAAAGAAGCTCCGTGACAGGGCCAAGATGAGGCTCTGGGCTGAATATCTTCGCGACAACGGCCGAAACATGATGTTGATCCGCCAGCCTACGTTTCACAAGCTCATTCGTGTTGGTCTCCCTAACCGCCTACGAGGCGAGATATGGGAGGTGACCTCTGGCTCTTTATATCTCCGGCTAGAAAACCCAACATTATACAGTGATACACTGGCCAAGTTTAAAGGCCAGGAATCCCTTGCCATTGATGAGATTGAAAAAGATCTCAATCGCAGTTTACCCGAATACCCCGGCTTTCAGAGCGAGGAGGGCATTGGCAGGCTGCGCCGCGTTCTCACGGCCTACAGTTGGGTCAATCCAGATGTGGGCTACTGTCAGGCTATGAATATTGTCGTAGCGGCGCTGCTCATTTACATGTCCGAGCCGCAGGCCTTCTTCCTTCTCTCTGCCCTGTGCGATCGTCTGGTCCCTGGCTATTATTCCACCACCATGTACGGCACTCTCTTGGATCAAAAAGTTTTTGAGTCTCTTGTTGAAAAGACCATGCCCATTCTGTGGGAGCATCTTGTTAAGAGCGACGTTCAGCTGTCCGTCGTATCACTGCCTTGGTTCCTTTCTCTGTATATTAATTCAATGCCCCTGGTGTTTGCTTTCCGTGTGTTGGACGTCTTTTTTGTCGAGGGCCCCAAGGTACTGTTCCAGGTTGGCCTTGCAATCCTTCGCATAAATGGCGAAGAGTTGCTGGATGCCGCCGATGACGGTGCTTTCATATCCGTCCTCAAATCATATTTTGCCAGACTCGACGAATCTGCGCATCCGAAATCGGAAAACCCCAAACTGAGGGCAGTGACGAGATTTCAGGAGCTCATGGTTGTGGCCTTCAAGGAGTTTGCCGGAGTCACTCATAGCAGCATCACAGAGCTTCGACTCAAGAACAAGGATGCCGTTCTGAGCAACATCGAGAGCTTCGCCAAGAGAACGGCCATTCGCAACCTGGGGCCTGACAGCAAGTTGCTGAGCCCCGAAGAGCTGGGCTCCTTGTATGATCGATTTTACAATGTCCTCTACGAGCGACAGCAACGAGATCGAATGATTCAGGAAGAGCTGCAGCGCCAGGCAAAGAGTAGCAGACTACGAGGCTCTGATGCCTTCCCCTCGGCTGCCCCTAACGAAGTCGAAAAGGGCCGCGTCGGACTTGGCCCAAGCACTAGCCTGATGGATTACGATGCCTTCCGCGAGTTCTTGGCCGGCATGTCGAAATGGGCCATCTCAGACTCCCAGGCGAACGAAGCCAGGCTCTACAACAACAGGAGGACGCCCGATGCAATGTCACCGTGGGGTAACGGACCGGAGCCTGCGGAACATGAGTTTCTACGACGCATCTTCAACAAGTGGGATGTCGACGGCACATCAGCCTTGACCCTCCAAAATGTGGTAACTGGCCTGGCCAGAATCAAAGGCAAAAGGGATATCATGGGCACAATCACATATTTCTTCGAGCTGTACGATGACGACAATGATGGCAGGGTAGATCGAGAGGGTATCTTGCGTATATCCGAAGCCCTGCTCTTCTTGTCTCGTCGCGGCCTAGAGGGAACGTTGACCCCTGGAGCTTCAACCGTAGGATTGAACGGCGACGGGATGAGCGCCAGCGACTCACAGAGCAGCCTACCTCCCGAAATATCCAACGCGGAGCGGTTTTTGGGCAGTGTCAGTGCGTTCATCAGGCGATGTTTCGAGTACGCCGACCCTGATCACCCAAAGAACCAAGATAGCACCGGCTTCGACTCATTCGGGTCAAACGACGAAATGGTTGACCCGAACGCCTTTGCCATTGGGGACGATGATGACAGTGAAGAAGAGGAAGATCTCTTGGCGCTTGATTCACCGACGGCCACTCCCACGAAAGCCAAGAAGCCCGTCGATTTATTGAGTCCGAATGACCAGAGCGACGGCGTTGACAACGAATCTCGTCGGCGCGTATCAAAGGCCAAGGCGGAAGCGGCTAACGCGGCACTGGACCCAGCTCACCCCCTTCACATCACTTTGCCGACTTTCCGAATGGTTGTGCTGGCCGACGAGCTTCTTGAACAGTTCTTTGAGTGCTCCTTCCCAGCATCGCTCCACATCATCGAGGGCCTTCAGACTCCCAGTAGCTTCTCGTATGCCCCTTCGCTTACGACATTCTCCAACCTAGGCTTTAACACGCGATCACAATCGCAGACCCAAGCCGGGCCCATTGGAGGCGGCCGTGGCCTGCGCGGCGTTTTGGATAATATCGTTACCGACGGAATGCGCGTGGCAAGCGAGGTGCGAAGGCGTATGGAGGAGGCTCAACGGGAGCTTGAAAAGAATGCACTACCCAGCCAGCGGACGGAGGAGGATGAGGAGGACGATGATGACGTCGGGGTTGCGATTGGTGTAAGGAGAGGGACAGGAGGCGCCAGCACAGACGTTGAACGGCGATCAGTCATGAGCACAGACCGTGATCTTTTAGATGGAGCAGACGCGGAAGCCGGGTCGGCGGTGCCTACGAAAGAACCGGGACACGATCACAACTTATTAGAGGTTGACACGGCAGCTGGACGGCGCCGAGCAAACAGCTCGTCGACTACAGGGGGGCCGGGAGTCGTAGAATTTGAAGGGTAATCGGATAGCTGGAAGGGAATGGAGATGAATGTCACACAAATTATGTCAGGTAATTTGATCTCTTTGATGGGAATGAAAGTACCGGATTCGAAAATGCACATTACGAGCTTTCAACCCCCCTCTACGATTTCTTATACTTTCCTTTTTTCCTTTCTTCATTTCTCGTTCCTTTTTTCCTTTCACGCTGTCAGAGGAATAAGATGGGAGTACGTGTATATACATTGGCAGAAGAGGATAGAGTAGGAGGCATGGAATTGGTTTGATCTGTCATGACTTGGCTGGACGATTGTTTTCTCTCTCTCTGCCTTTCCGTGCGTGTGTTGAAGAATATGGACATGCATGGTCTGGCGCGGGATTTTGTCTAGACACGAGATAAATACATAAAAATAATATTTCATTGTATGCTATATCTCTTTCGTATGTTTGTGTAGTCCAACGAGGAAAGCTGTAAATGTACATGTATACCTAGATAGGTTTCATGAGTACCTCATGTACAGCTTAATCATACACTCAACGATATCTTGAGAGGATGTTTTACCTGTAATTTATCCGACCAATCATCCAGGGAATAGCTGCCATGTATCAAGAACAAATTGAATCTATGTGTCGTTTAGGTTACATTTTCCATGCTTTCAATTTATTTGTCTCCATGTTAACGATGGAAGGAGTTTGCGATTCTATCCAAGTAATGGCCTCCACGTATGTATTCCGTACCCTCTGGTTAGAAAATACATGTAAACAAAGCCGAGGGAAGACATGCGGTTGTTGAGGCCCTAATGCGAGTTAATGCCAGTCGCGAATACTAGCCGGCAAGTCGATATTGGGGATTCCGAGTTCGGTCTGGTCGTAATTGGCAATGGGGCAACTTGGACACAAATACGGAGCAGGGTCTACGGGATTGAATAGCCTAGCAGTGCTATTTACGTGTAATTTTGGATCCATGACCCCAAAAAACACTGAAACTGATTGCCACATGCTTGAAGTTGTATGTACGGGTAAGGGTCTTGATCCGTGCGGTATGGCATGAGGCCACTCGCCTCCTCATGGCAACGCCCAATTGTTTCAGGGCCTGTCTCTCTTATCAGCCATTCTTGCAGAGATTTTTCTTTTTCAATGGGCTAGTATTTACGGCATCTCATGCCGACGATTAAGCGTCTGGTATCCCCCTCTCAGGAGCAAGGATCGTCGTCATTAAACATGGAATCTAGCGGCGGAGGCGAACCCCTCCCCCTGCCTTTGTTTCTACAGTAGCAACGCAAGTTCTGGTGGGATAGCATTTTTTTTTTTCGTTCATTTCCCTATCAAAGGAAGAATAACAAAACAAAGAGGGGCATTGACCTCTCATTTCCCCCCGCTGTTGGGGATTGAGATGCGAAGTGAGGAGATGTTTTGATTTGGGTGAAAGGCTAATTTGTTTAGAGGGGGGTTGCATGATTGATTGGCTGGGGTGGTTGAGGAGGTACGAGCAGTTGATTGCTTGTCATTGTGTAGTACCCTTTGTCTCTGAGGCATTGAGATGGGAAGCTCTTTGTTCTCTTGAAATTACTCGAGCCCACAGAGCAATGCGTAAGGTATGTACGAGTACGAAGCATTGAGGTTATATTGGTTAAAGGCGGCTATTGATTTAGAGTAATGTGGCTAAATCGACACGGCGCTGCACCTCGGAGCAACTAGAACAATATGGTTGCGGGGGGGAATTGTCTTAGTAGCAATAGTATCAAATAACTTGAAGCTTCTACAATCTCCTAAATAGGTATGAGAAGAGCTTGCTAGAGATTTGAAGCTCGCACTGGGAGGGCATCGAGCACACCCATGAAGTCACAAGTACGGCATCAAGTGTATTTGAACAGGAATCAACGGGGCCATGCACGCTCTTTGTCCTCAGGCACAAAAGTACGGGGTACCTGCAAGTGGCAGCGTGATACGCTCTTGTTTCAGGTCGCCGTCATGTTCCCTCCACTGCGCGTGCCTGTGCCTGTGCCTGTATGAGAAGCTCGTACCAGGTACCTACTCCGTATGGGGCGGCCGCTTTTGCGCTTTTGCCGCCCTTGTTTTTGTGGCTCCTGGTTTCGCCTTGAAGCATTCCTGGGCGGCATCTGGCATTTCTTTGGCTGCCCATCCAATCTCATTGAATCTCATCAAATCTCATTGTCTAGAGGGTTGCATTTCGCATCCTATCCTTGTATTGGTACCTATACAGTACGGAGTAGTGTGCTCCTATAAGGCATTGATCTCATATCCATACTGCCAAAGTCAGGGTCCAAGGTCCACGGTCCAAGGTCCACAAGACCTGGGATCTCCCAAACTTGTGCGAACCGATGCATCGATAGCGGCCAGCTGCCTCATGCGGAAAGACGCTCTAGCACTCTTGAGCTTTAGCCCGCCGTCTGCAAGTCAACATTTTGAACTTTGGCACAGCTCCGGCACTGAGTCCTTGCTGCTGTGGGCCTTGTTCGGGGGTCAATAATCCCAGGGTCCACCACTTCTCAAGCGATAATCTCGAGTAAAAGGGGGGAACATGCCGAACGCTTTGAGCATCGCGGCATTAGATTAGCATCAAATTGAATCTCTGGCTTTTGCTATGGAGGCATGGAGTAGTTATTAGTGATTGTACGAGGTCCTTTGTAGCTAGGGTAAGGTAGCTTTGGCACTGTACTCGTACAGAATACGGCGTATTTCCTTGATTTCTTTCACAAACTCCATGTCTATGATGCAGACATTGCTGCATCCGTGCAAAAGCCCCTCGTCTAGTCGCAGCATCTCTTTGGCCGCTTGCGTCTGGGTGTGTTGATCGCCCATTCATTCGCAGCACAACCCACGAGACCCCCCTTTTCTGGATCTGGGAGCGACCAGACATCTAAGTTGGCGTGGTATTGGCACAGTGTGGAGTGGCCCTTGGCTGCAGAGCGCGGGACTGTGCAGCTCATCATTTCTCCTACATACTCCAACAACTCCGGGGGGAACCACCTGCTAACCTCGACTAGCAAGCAGCCAGTCCCAGTGAGTGCACTGTTGCTGCGTTTCGACAGCCCGTCAGTTGCCCGCCAACCAACTACTTCGTACCTACAGATCCATCCATTTCGTCCCCCTCCAGTGATTTGCATTTGCGCACTCTCGCTCGCTCGCTCCCTCACCTCCATCAAATCAAATCCAGCATTCGCGCCTGGTCGAATTACTCGTTACAGGCCATAATACCGCTATTGGGTAGATGCTATTAAGTAGCTGCTGCTTTGCTTCGGCTTGGAGTGACGCTAGGCCCAGCCTTGCACCAAGGAATTTAACCTGCCATATTCCCCTGTGTCGCGAGTCAACCGGCTCAAGACCCCTTTGGACACTGTCAATTGATAGCCATCATGGCCGCCAACAGCTCTTACTTCGCCGGTAAGCGCCCTCCAATCCCCAATCTCCAGCCCTGCTTGCGTGGTCGTGACGTCGAGATTCCCGTTTGATTGTTTGATTTCCATGGGGGCTTCCATCTTGTTTGGCTCTCGTTCGACCTCGCCCCGGTGCCGCGTTGCCGACCGCGCTGCGATGGCCAAAGTGGCCAAAGTGGCCGGCGGCAAAGACGCGCAAAGGGGCAGATGCCGTCTGCATGAAGCCTCTCATCATCGGTCGAAACAGATCAAGGGGGGCCAAAGCGGACCTGAGCGGCGTATCCAAGGCATCCAAGATCCAAGCTGCCAAGCCAGAGTATCTCGCCATTCGACCCTCCTGCCTGTGTCATGTAGACGAGACGGGATGCCGTCTTGTTTCATGTTTGCCCATCACTCGCCTATCTGGCCTGCACTTGTCCGTTGACTCCAGCTGATGACTCCTATAGGGCAGCAACCCACGGGCCAGGCGCCCAGCCTGTCCTTCAATGGCAACAGCATTGATAACAATGCCGACAGCCTGGCCTCCAACAATCCGTTCCGCAACTTTCGCGCTACCTCTCCAAGTCACCTCAACACTTCCTTTCCCACGACGCCTACATCCCCCTTCGACGACCCGATGCCGTCCTCGCGCCCTCTGTCGCGGAACCCGTTCCTGGACCAGCCTCTCGCTCCACGGCCCGCCGATGTGGCTGCCGCCGTCAAAACTCAGTCCCTCACTGCTGAGGATATCTTCGTGCGTTTTCCCCGTAGCCTTTATGGCACGTCCATGGCCCCTAGAAACGGGAAGGGAAGGACTTTGGGGACTATCTAGCAGACCAGGCGCTGACCGCTGGCTTTTTGCCAAATTATAGGGATCTCTGACGCTTGACGACTCTCCCGCGTTTTCAGTCAAGCAGCCTGTTGATTCAACCCTGCTGCAGAAGCGCCCTACAGACCGACCCGTCCCCCCTCGCCGTGAAAGTGAGAGCACGGCATCCGGACGAGCTGCTGAGAAGCACCGTCCTACTCGTTCCCAGGAAGAACAACTGAGAGCCCGCAAGCCGCCTCCCCCAGGATCAAAGGCGCCAGCGCCAAAGCCGACGACCCGCCCCAGCCTTTTGGACGATTCGCCGCCTCGTAAGCCGTCGCAGCGACGCCCAAGGCGCAACTCTGATTCGTCCGTCATGGACTTTGATTCCAAGACCCTTACAGCTGAAGAAAAGAGGATCATTGAGGCCAGACGCCGCCAGCATAGCAAGAGCAAATCAACACGTCCTAGCCGTAAGATGGATATTATTGATCAGCTGGATGCCACCAGCATCTACGGAACAGGCTGTTCGTACACCCTTTCTCCCCTACATCCCTTGACTCCTTGGCTATTACTCTCGTGGTGTTGTATTCTAACCTTGTCCTCACAGTGTTCCATCATGATGGACCTTTTGATGCTCTGAACCCTCATCGGAACCGTCAGAACAGCAAAAAGCTGTCTCCGATGTCAGCATTCCCCGAGGGCTCCCTCAACAACACACTTGGCGGCTCCGGCCCCCTCAATGCGAATCCCGATCACTCGTCCTTTATGGGCCATGGTGGTGATGAGGCATTCCAGGACTTCGCTGCCAGCGGAAAGGGCAAGAACCCTCGAGAGCCCCTCATTTTTGATCCCCAGGCACGCGCAGCCTTGGTACACGGCGAAGAAAGCCAAGGTCTGGGCACTTCGACTTTCCTCGAGGGAACGCCGGCTGCGCGATCGGCCATCGTTCGCCGACAAGTAGAGCATGCTCAGGAATTGGCTGAAGGCGGCTTGCAGCGGAAGAAATCTGTAGCTCAGAGAATCAAACAGAGGGTGCGACCCGACTATAGCAACAGGCCCATGCCTGGCCATGGCCGCTACGACTCGGACGACTTTGGCGAAGAGCGCATCAACGTCCCCAGACCTCCCCCGCGCGAGCGCGAACGCGAACGAGAAGGCAGACTCTCGCCGCCTCCCATGCCACGACGAGGCTCAGGAAGTGCCTTGGAACGACGATCGAGCGCAGACGAATTGCCATCCCCGTCCAATGAGGCTCCTGCTAAGCCATCGGGCCTCCTGGGCCGAATGAAGAGTTTGAAGGGAGGGAGGCGACCAAACAGGAACGGTGAGGCCGGAGGAATGGCCGCCTAAAGCAGGCTGTGTATTGCAGTTGGTAGGGACGTGAGTATTAGAGTAGCTGGACGATACGAATGTTGGATTCCATGGTCCATAAATATGATATCCGCATGATGATGAGAGAGCGACAACGGAGTGCTCTCTCCAGAGGAGTAACGTTCGGGCAGAAAGGTGCCTGTCCATTTAAGAGTTGAGCCTTGGTTATTGAGGCCCGCATATGAAGACTTATTCTTTTTTCTTATCTCAGCGGGCTGTGTACTTAATATATGGAATTGTTTTTTTTTTCTGGGCGATGTTGATTCTCCTGTTCTTTCTAATTTTCTCCTTGTTGCGATACATGACAGAGTTAGGTGGCGTGTGAATCTTTTCTTTGCCACGGACAAAACGAAGAAAAAAAATGGAGGAAGGGATTGGAGGCATACAGCTTGGGATGTTTCTCCTTGTATCCCCCTTTCCACGTTTCTCTCCTCCGGTTGTGGGATTTGTTTTGCTTTGTTGCGTTTTGTTTAGATTTTTGGTATCAGAGGCGCAAACAAGAGGGAAACCTCTGCAATTCGCAGCTTTGGTTGGGTATTACGTCGACCTGGGCTCGATGGATTATCTTGAAGCTGGCAGACGCTCACCATATATATGCTGGCTCTTTTTGTGCTCAAGAGACCTGACGCTGGGTGCCAGGGATTTGGGGCTTGATTTTCCTTATTAGAAGACGTAGATTGCTACGAAGAAAAAGATTATTTTGGCATATCATGATGCGAAGTGATTTTATAATGTGCCATCTCTCCAGGCAATTGTGGTGGCAGACTCGATTGTTGTCGTGTGTCGGTATCTTTACTATAACAGACTTCTTTCTGCTACTTCCGCTCTCACGTACTCTCATCTTCTCCACCATCATGCACCTGTACAGTATATCATCCCATCTTGGCAATCTACAACCACACAACTAATTATTTCCAGTACGGAAATGGAAATTTTCATATCATGAGCTGATTGCTTCAATCTCACCACTATTCTGCGTCTACTTAGACTTACGGTGCTAATGGCGCCAGCCATCCACACAGAGAGCTCACCACGACAACTGGTCATCAGAGAAGCTCAAACACACGCAAATTAAAGTCTAGACTGGAGACCACTCAATACCATCCGGCAAAATGGCAGCACTGCATCATCAAATCGTCCCTTCAGTAGCCCACAACCCACAGGCTCCGGACCCTTCCCGGCCAAGGCTCGTCTCAGCTTCAGCCCTTGCGAGCATCGAGAAGCGACGCCGGGATTTTGTGCGGAGCTTGGGCCCATGTCCCAGCGGATGCGAGGATCTGGATGTATATGTGCTCCTTGGCGGGTTTGAGCGTGGAAGCGTTGTTGGGATAAGTGCCGAGGACGAGGATGGAGTGGGTGTGACGGTGAGTTTGCTGTGCCTTTTATGCGTGAACCTGTGGAGAGGAAGTCTTCATTCACTCTTGTTCACTTCTCACACTGTTACTTCTCTACAAGATACTGATTTGTGCCATGATAGCTTGGGCTACAAGTGTTAGTGTGCTCTCTCCTTGACAAGGCAGTTCAAAAGGTCCAGATTGTGACGCCCAAGCCTCCCAGCACCATCGTCGTACTACTCAAGAACAGCATCACGGCTGAGCTCAAAGCAAGAGGCATCACGGCTCCTAGTGAGATTGCGGCCCAGGGGAAATTGTGTCTGGACAGAATCTTGCTTTCGCGCGTCTTTGACATGGATGGACTGTGCGAGGTGCTGGCGGACTTGGACAATGCAGTTGCTCCTGGGGCTGAGGAGCATGTCCTCCACAAACCAGAAGGGGATGATGCACAGCCAACAGAGGGGGAAACGGCCAAGACACAGGCCAAGGCCGATGATGTTCCTAGAGACTTGGGGGATGAGCCGCAGAGCCCGTCTGTTGTTGCTGAGATTCAGGACAGCCAAGATGAGGATGAAGCATTGTCTCCTTCGCAACCCTTGGAGACGCCGTCTCAGCCCGAGGCACCGCATAAAGTGCAAAAGGGTGAAGCAGCAGCTACTTCTGACGAGCAATCAAAACAAGATTCATCTAGCATTACCAACACTGCTGCCGCTGCTGCTGCGAACAACAGCAATTCAACATCGGCAACCCCCGACATCATCCTCATCACCCACTTCTCCTCCCTCCTCACCAGCTTCTTCACACAGCGCGACAACTCAGTCGCCCACGCAACCCTCCGCCTCCTCGCCTCCCGCCTGCGCCGCCTCTCCAGAACACTCTCCTCCAACCCTCTCATACTGCTCATCAACTCCACCGACTCCGGCGCCGCGTCATCTACAGCAACTACAGCAGCAACGGCGGCAGCAGCCCATTCTTCAGAGCACGATATCCCGCCGCCAGACCAACCAGCCACTCAGAAACCTTCCGTCGACCCAACTCTCCGGTCGATTTTCAAACCGTCCTCCGAGGCGTCGGGACATGGACATGCCGGCGGGTACAAGCCCAATAAGCCGACCTTTGGTCTTGTATTCACACAGCTGCTCGACGTCCATCTCCTCTGCACACGAGCTCCTCGCCTCGGCAAGACATCTTTACCGCGCGCACTGACTGTCGTCGAGGTGCTGCTGGATGACATTGGCCTGTGGGAAGGTAAAAGGGGTCTTAGGAAGAGGAGGGAGCAACGTTGGACCGTCGTGGCCCCTTATAATGGCCGTATTATCAATGCGTCCGACGGCAAGAAGCTGATAGGTAAAGAATGAGTAATAGATTGATTTGCTACCGTTAAACTTAGCCTATACGGCCTTCTTCCCCAGCTTCGATTATCATATTTCACTGCAGCAAAGGAATGGTCAAACACGGCGCTTTCAAAACCTTCAATGATATTATAACTTCTAGACCAGTTAAATATTTATTAATATAAACTATATATCGCGTCTATTTACTCGCCCTTGAGTTTGTCCTGCGTAACACTGAATGCCATCTGCAAGAAGTCCTGCTCTTCCTTGGTGTGAACATTCTTCAAACCAGTTGCCACGGAGGCGCTGGGGTTACGACCAGCATACATGACGTGCTTGCGGTCGTGGTGTTGAGTTTGGTTCAACAGCGTCTCGATACGCGGCTGTGTGAAGCTCCAGGCTCCCGCGTTGAGAGGCTCCTCCTGTGCCCAGACAATGGTCTTGGCGTTGGGGTACATGTCCAGGTTCTCCTTCAGTTGCTGCCAAGGGAAGGGGTTCAGTTGCTCAATGCGGGTGAAGGCCACGTTGTCAATCTTGTTCTCGGCACGGTACTTGTGCAGACTAGCCCACACTTGGCCTGTGCAGAGGATGACTCGGTCAATCTCCTCGGGAGCCTTGATAGCACCAGTCTCGTGCTCCGGGTCGGGAATGATCCATTGGAATCCAGCATTGGGGCCGGTGAAGTCCTCAATGTTTGATCGCGCCAATGGGTGGCGGAGCAGTGACTTTGAGAAGAAGATGATGAGGGCTGAGAGGAGTGTTAGTCTATGACGGAGTAAAACACTAGATATATGGGCAAGACTTACGTTTTCTGAACTGTCGGTGCATTTGTCGACGCAAAACATGGAACAAGTTGGCAGGAGTTGTCATGTAGGCAATCTGCATGTTGCAATCCTGGTGCTGTCGGTGAATCTTGTCCTCGGATGGGAAGACACGGGGGTCTTCGTTACAAAGCTGCAGATAGCGCTCCAGGCGGCCGGAGGAGTGCTCGGGGCCCTGGCCATCGTATCCATGGGGCAGAGACATGACCAAACCGGTTCTCTGCATCCACTTGACTTCACCAGAGGCGATGAACTGGTCGATGATGCACTGGGCGTTGTTGGCAAAGTCACCAAACTGGGCCTCCCACATGACAAGAGCATTGGGCGACGACAGCGAGTAACCATACTCGAAACCCAGGGCACCGAACTCGCTAAGAGAAGAGTTGGAGATGACAAACTTTCCTTGGTCCTTGCTAATGTGTTGCAGAGGAGTGTAAGTCTCTTCAGTCTCCTCGGTTTCTTGGTCATGGAAGACAGCATGGCGCTGTGAGAATGTACCACGCTCAACATCCTGACCAGAAACTCTCACATGATAGCCCTCAGTGACGAGAGAGCCAAAGGCCAGAGCCTCAGCGGTAGGGAAATCAATGTTCTTGCCCTCGACAACAGACTTTGTTCGGCTGGACAAAATTCGCTTCAGGTTACGGTGGATCTGGAATCCTTCAGGAGCCGATCCGATGATCTCACCAATGTGGTTCAAGGTGTTGCGATCGACACTGGTGTCGTTGTGGGGCAGAATTTCCGTAGCGAGTTCCTTGGGCGACTTGAAGCCATTCCAGGCGGATGTAGTCCACTCCTTGGACGTGGGTTGGTAGTCCTTGGATTTGGAGAAGCTCTCTTCGAGCATACCCCACACCCACTGCTTGTGCTCTTCGATGTCTTCCTTAGTGAAAGTACCTTCCTGCAGCAGCTTGTTGACATAGACATCAATCTGAGGAACCTTCTCCTGGATACGCTTGTACATGAGAGGCTGGGTAAATGAGGGCTGGTCCGTCTCGTTGTGGCCGTGCTTGCGGTAGCAGATCAGGTCAATAACAACATCGTGCTGGAACTCGGCTCGCCAATCAGCGGCCAGCTGGCAGACAAAGTTGACGGCCTCGACATCGTCGGCATTGACGTGGAAAACAGGGGCGTCGATGGCCTTGGCGATGTCCGTGCAGTAGGCGGTTGATCGGGCAAATCGAGGATCGGTGGTGAATCCGATCTGGTTGTTGACGACGAGGTGAATAGTACCGCCGGTAGAGAAAGCAGGCAGAGAGTGGAATCCAAGACATTCATACACAATACCCTGTGCAGCAAAAGCGGCATCACCGTGCAACAGGACGCTCATGGCAGTCTTGTGATCCTTTTCATCGTTGTTGTAGTGCTGAATGGCACGGGTCTTACCGAGGACAACAGGGTCTTCGGCTTCCAAGTGGGAGGGGTTGGCGACGAGCGAGAGCTGCACGCGCTTACCAGAAGGCGTGGGTCGCTCAAAGTTCATGCCCAAATGGTACTTGACATCACCAGAGCCTTCATCTCCAGCAGTCAGCGTTCCGGCAAACTCGCTGAAGATGGATTCGTTTGGCTTTCGGACGACGTTGCTCAAAACGTTCAGTCTGCCACGGTGAGGCATGCCGATGACGATGTCCTTAACGCCGTAATCGACACTGCGGTCGATCAAAGCCTTCATACCGGGGACCAGGGTCTCGCAACCCTCAAGGCCGAATCGCTTGTCGTTGGGGTATTTGGTCGAAAGGAAAGACTCAAAGCTGGAGCTCCAAATCAATCGATCGAGGACACGGCGCTTCTCATCGATGGAGTACTTGAAAGGCTGGGGAACCTCGAGGCGTTCGCGCAACCAGTCACACTTCTCGCGGTCGGGGATGTGGATGAATTCCACACCATAGGAACCAGAGTAGATTTTTTCGCATGCAGCAATGATCTCGCGAAGGGTCATTTTATCACGGCCCTCGCGCTTGAATCTGGGCAAGATGCCAGGTCCAAGAGTGTACTCGGTGTCGAGGTCCTTCTCGGTAAAGCCATAGTGCTCGAGCGTCAGCTCCTTGGGCTTGATGTTACCAAAGCCTGCAGAGGTGTTGCGGATGCCAAGAGGGTCGATATCAGCCTTGTGGTGTCCACGAGCCTGATATGCGCGCACGAGAAGCTGGACCTTCAAGTGGTTGGTGACGTCGGAGCCATCTTCAAGGGTCAGGCCGCCAGCAAGACGAGGGACACCCCCTGTCATGCCGGGAACCAGGTTCGGGGGAGGCTGAAAAGCCTGCGAGATGGGCATGTCGCCGCTCTCGATGTTCTTGAAGTAGACCTGCCATGAGACGTGGACGCTCTTGGGGTCCTGCTTCCACTGTATGTACATCTCATCGACATAATTGGCAGTGCTTCCCGACAGGAAGTTGTCGCTGGGGTCGGGGGGCGAGTAGGTGGCATTGGGCGTCGTCGTCGCGGCGTAGAGTCGCCTCGTCGTCAAGGGGAGGGGCTTGCGAAGGGCTGTAAGCCTCGTGGCCGTTGCCCTCGTTGCCAGGCGGGTGCCCTGGACACCCCTCAGCAGTGAATTTCTCCACATGGTGAACAGCTCAAGCAAGAACAACAAAGAGGTCTATTGTTATGTGTGAGCATGCATCAGACCCAATCCGTTGAGCAATCGCGAAATGAGCGGCGGAGTAAGTCGTGAAGATGGGAGGCGGCAGAATTTGCTCGAGGGAGAAGTTGAATTGGGGATTTCGGGCTGTCGCAGTCAAGCAGTCACCTGCGGCGAAAGAAAAACTATGACGGCAGCGGGCTAATAATACCGCTCCTGCCAACTGTTAGCCAAGGTTAACGAGAATAGGGCGGGTGACTTGTGGCTGGTTAGGGGGGCGCATCGGGCTTGCCGGAACAAACAAACGAGCCCCTAGGCTTCGAGGGTTGCCGAGTACCAGTGGACAAGTATCGAGTACAGCACAGTACAATGGCTACTGAATTGCCGCTCCACCCAGCAGAGCCTTCTCTTCCAATGAGAATTCACAGACCGCCATACGTGTTAGGTAATTGAGACGAGCACAAGCAGGCTCTGGTACGGGAGTTGTCTCGTGCAGGGCCATTCATTCAGCTAGTACGGAGTTGGGAGGCCATCAGCGTCACCCGGGCACCTTGATGATGCAGGTGAGGACACTGTGGGAGGGCATGTGGCAAGTTGGAGGTAATACGGGCACAGAAGTTGGTGTGCTTTTCGATGACTTCGAGACTTATGATACTTGAGACTACCTATGGCTACTAAGAATACTACTAGGTAGTAGAGTTTTTGAGTTGTATTTTGAACAGTACGTGCAACTCGCTTTGAGAAGCCGAAAGAGGGCTGCTCCAATAAACGGCTATAT